TGCTAATCTGGTGTCTTGTAAATTTTAGAACTTAAGATGTATGGGTAGTAACTGTAACCATGATAATGGATAGAAGTGCATAGTGACCCAGTGTAGGGTGAAAAGAGCCAAGGACAGAGCTCTGGGGATTAAAATGTTTTAAATGGCACTGGAAGAATAGGAGTTAGGAAGTGTAGGGAATAGTGTTTCCAAAGGAAGGCTGCATTATACTGACTTGTATTTAGCAGACTTGTACTCGTAAGATACTTCTGTTTTAGCTCATATCTATTTATTAAGCTTGAAAAGTTATTTTTTTCTTTCTGATGGTTGATGCCTATAGATGACAGTTCAGATATTCTATCATTGGACACTTTCTTTAGTCGACGTGTGAGGGATTGTGCTGTGCCCTGGGCTGGGTTAAATTCTACTGACATTCTTATTTAATCTTCAGGATAGTGCCCTGAGATAGATAACTTTTTTTTTAAGATTTTTTATTTATTTATTTGATAGAGAGAGGGAACACAAGCAGAGGGAGTGGGAGAGGGAGAAGCAGGCTTCCCGCTGAGCAGGGAGCCCGATGCGGGGCTCGATGCGGGGCTCGATCCCAGGACCCTGGGATCATGACCTGAGCCGAAGGCAGTCACTTAACGACTGAGCCACCCAGGCGCCCCTAGATAACTGTTGTTAAATCTACTTTACAAGTGAGGAAATAAAGATTTTGAAGGGTCATGTAATTTTCCCAGGGTCACATGGCCTGTTAATTTAGCAAAGCCATGACACCAACCAAGGGCTTTTGTTCTCTACTAATAAACTATGTTTACCAAGATAATCAGTGACTCACACTGTAGTGTTACTATACCATATTAGCACAATGGAATGTGAGTCCAGCGGTTTGGACTAGATTTGGGGATATATAAATTCTAATCTCTGCTCTTAGATTTGGGGTAAGTCGTTTAGTGTCTCTGGGTCTATTTTTTCATTTACTTGAAAATTTTTAGGCCTAAACATTGTTGTACTGTGGCTCCATCTCTACTCTGTAAAGCATGAATACCGAGGAAAGTAGTATGTAGAATCTTGGATTATAAAACAACTCTTGATTTATATATGTGAGAAATGATTTATTATAATGTAAGGGTATTTCTACAATATTTGAAGTCTCTTGGCTTATGTTTTTTAAATTCCTTAGTTTCTAATAGAAAATTTAGTAATTCATGACGGGTTAGGGACCTTTTTGTACATTTTCTAGCTTTCATGGGATCTTATTTTATAGAGCCTGAAAAGATCATTTGAAGTTTTGCTCAACTATTCACAGTATAGTTACCTCTGGAGTTTATAGTCCACATTAACTTTGGTCTTTCTCTGGAATTGTTCTGAATGTTCTGCTTTATATGTTCAGTATTTAATATTGAGAGATGGTGTCTTAGTCTGCTTTTTTATAATCTCTGTATATGGAATACTTGAGGCCATCATTGTCATGTGGACTTCTATCTTTTATTTGTGAAAACTTATGAACAGCTACATCTTATTTAAAATATTTTATATGGATGGTATCCTGTGTATCAGGATACCTAATAAAAATTGCAGTTTCGACCTAGGGATAAATTCTCTTAAGGCCGTTTCAGAAAAGTCTCTACTGGACCTGGGATTTGAATAAGATTTAAGTAATAAAAAAGAAGTTCTTTTACAGAATTCCTTTTAAGCACTCCAGAAAAGATTAGAAAATAAGGCTCTGTTTGAGTCATCTGCTTAAGAATCCTCTATGAGGGTTGCACTGATGTTTTACTGCTAGGGTAACTGAAAGAACTATTTTGCCTATCTATATTCCTTACCCTTTCACATTCATACCCATTGGACATAGCTTGGAAGGAGTTTGTTTTTTTTGTTTTTTTGTTATCCACCTTATTGAGGTTTGATTGACATGCAAAAAGCTGTACATATTTAACGTATGCAACTTGATGAGTTTGGAGGTAAGTATTCACTTATGAAGCCATCACCATAATCTATGCAATAAACATATTAATCACCTTCAAAAGTTTCTTCCTACCCTCTTTGGAGAGGATTCCACTCAGTAATTTCTGTCCATTCCAGGTCACAAGTAGGTGTGAAGCTGATGAATAATTGTTGCCATGTTTCCCAGGTTGTGAGTGCAGAACATGTGGGTTTTATGTGGCATAATAACAGCTTCTTAGTCATAGATTAGCAGGAAATCATTCCATCAGCAAGTATGAATGTCTGTTATATGCCATGTATTACTTCAGTGGCTGAGGGATTCCTCAGTCAGAAAAATTCCTGCCTTCATGGAGCTGACATTTGGATGGGAGGAGGGAGGCCAGGAAACGAAATAAGGAAAAAAAAATAAGGAACGTGGGGTTGGAATTTGGGGGTGACTAGTAGGAGGAGACTGCTATTTTAAATGGAGTGTGAAGTTAAAGCTGAGGTTGATAAAGTGAAGGAGCCATGCAGATACCTGAGGGAAGAATATTTGAGTGACAGAGAGAGTAGCATATACAAACACCTTGAAACAAACCTGTTTGACATATTCCAAAGAATAGCAAAGAGAGTCTGATGTGGCTAGAACAGTGAGCAAGGAGGAAGAATAGATGAAGTCAGATTATCAGATCGAATAACATTTTGTAGTTTGTATAAGGACTTTGATTTTAACTCCAAGAGAAATTAGAAGTCACATGAGGGTTGTGAGCAGAAGAATAACATGATTTATGTTTTTAGAAGGTCACTGGTTGTTCTGTGATCGTGGGCCAGGAGCAGAAACGGACCAGTTAGGGGGCTGTTGGAATACTCTGAGCGATGATGGTGGTTTGGATAAGGCTAGTAGTAGTGGAAGAGGTGAGTAGGAGTTAGATTCTGGGTACATTCTGGAGGTAGAGACAACAGTATTTCCTGTGGGATTAGAATCAAGGTGAGGGAATAAAAGGGATTACAGGCCTTTTTGGCCTTAGCTACTGGAAGGATGGAGCGGATGTTTGCTCATTTGGAGAAGACTGCTGGGGCAGACTTCAGGGCAAAGATTAGGATTTCTGTTTTGGACTTGGTAAGTTTGAGGTGCCTAGTGGGTATTCAAGTGAAAACATGGCTGAGTATAGGACTCTCGTATCCAGGGGAGAGGGCCAAACAGTAAATAAATATTGAGGTTAACTTAAGCCATGAGCATAGATGAAATCAGCTTCACCTGAAAACTGAGTTGTGGCTAGAAAAAGAAGTTCAGGTTTGGAGGTTGCTGTGAGGAGAACGAACTTGTAAGCAGACTGACAAATAGGAAGTAGAGGAATGGGAAGAAAAACAAGAGATTGTAGTGCTTGGAAGGCAACTGAGGAATCTGTTTCAAGGAGTAAGAGTGATAGCTCTTTCAGTTGCTGCCAGATAGGTCAAGAATGATGAGAACTAAGACTGACCATTTAGATTTAGCAAGATGGAAGTCACCGGTGACCTGAGTAGTTTTCAGTGAAACAGTAGAGATGAAAGCTTATTATCTCAGGTCCTGTGATTTTGCTGTAAATGGAAAAGACAAAGATTGGATGGTACTGGAGAAATGGTGGGTTTGTGAGGATTTGTTTTTAGGATGGGAAACTGATGATTTTGAATGCGGTTGGAAATTGTTTAGCAGAGAGAAAAGAATGTGATGATGCTGAGAAGGGAGATTGATAAAGGGAGGTCCTTGAAAAGGTGAGTTGGGATGGAACTAAACTTCATTCTGTATAGGTATCACCTGGGCTCACAATGCAGATCATAGTTCTGTAGGTATGGTTGGAGCCTGAAATTCTGCATTTCTAATAAGTCCTTGATGATGCCTATGTTTCTGGTCCCGGTCTATAATTTGAGTATAAGAACTTGTAACTTTGAGCACAAGAACATTAGAATAATATATTAATACATAATCATATAGATTGGTGGATATGCTTGGGGTTTGTACAGTGTGTCTTCAGGTTGTTTCTGTTTTCTCAAAGGAACAGGAAAAAAGTCATTATCCTACAGTGAGGAAGGAGGAGATGGTGTAAAATCATGTAGGAAGGTAGAGTCAGTAGTCTAGAATGTAGGATTATGGGGTTGTACCCAGGGCCCACTGTGGTTAGTGGTTATGAATTTAAACTGAGACGTATTGAATATGGGTGTATGTGTGTGATTCATTTACTTTCAGCTACACACGTGGGTGCATGTGAAGAGTAGGTGGGTAGATGGGGTTTAGAATGGCAAGTATTTTGGTGGGGAGAGGGGCAGGTGATTCAAGGTAGCTACAAATGATGGACTGTGGAATCTAAACTGGGAGAGGAAGAAAATAAGAATGGGTTAAACAAAATGGGTGTTTTGGTTTGTTTTGTTTTTAATTGCAGGTCTTCCAATCTTTAATTTGCTAAGGAGCCCTGTAAATCTTCAGGAGAGGAAAATAGTGTTCATGTCCTCATTTTTTCTTTCCTTTTTTTTTTTTTTTTTTTAAAGAAAGAATGTGGGGAGGACGGGGAGAGGGACAGAGGGAGAGCAAGAGAGAAACCTGAGCAGACTTCGTGCTGAGCGTGGAGCCCGACGTGGGGCTCGGTATCACTCTCCTGAGATCACGACCTGAGTTTGAAACCAAGAGTCAGAGGCTTAACCGACTGTGACACCCAGGCATCCCCTAAATTATTTTTTAAATCATGGAAGTCTTTCTTCAGGGTTTCTCTCTCAGGTTGTATTCTTCTAAATAAATTAAGGAAAAGGGTGTCTTACAGTTTTGGCTAAAGCAAGTATTAACATTGGGGATTATGATTTCATTTAAATTGGAGGGTTTTAATGCATATAAGAAAGGAGGGAGGTCTTAAAGGATTTTTAAAAAATTGTGTAAGTTCTAAAAACAATTCTTAAATGTATCCCTTTATTTTTGTTAAAACAGACTGTTAACATCCTTATAAGTTATGCAGATTTATAAACATAGCCATATAATGAGATAATTACCATATGGACAAATACAGAAAGATTTTCAACCATTGGTGTTTTTTTTTTTGTCTCTTTTTCTCTCTTGGATATTACAGATGACCATGGATGAAAAATATGTAAACAGCATTTGGGACCTTCTGAAAAATGCAATTCAAGAAATCCAGCGTAAGAATAACAGTGGTCTTAGTTTTGAGGAGCTCTATAGAAATGCTTATACAATGGTTTTGCATAAACATGGAGAAAAGCTCTACACTGGACTAAGAGAAGTTGTTACCGAACATCTCATAAATAAGGTATCCAACTTTAAAGGACTATTGCTAATTATATGGAATCTAGAAAATCCTTTATATACTATATTGTACTTTGACTAGAAGCATTAGTTTTAAAGGTTCCAGGAAGCCTATAGAAATAGTAATCAATCAATGGCTATATTATAAAACCTCTCTTAAAACTTATAATAAGCTAAATAACAATTTTTGATAATTGAGGGAAGATGAAGTTTGTGATTTATAATATAAATACATTCTCTGTAATCATAATTAAGGAAACAAACTTTCATTAGTTTACAAATGCTTGTTTATTAATGTATGAAGTACAGATCATTATTTTTTCCTTAAAATGTTTAACCAGTCAGTCCATTTTATCTTTCTCTACTTTCCCTGTATATTTGAAAATAATAAAACTACATTGTTTAAAAAAAATACTGTCTAGGAGTTTATACCAGTTGAAATTGACATTATTTTAACTGAGTTTTATAGTAAATGTGAATTAAAAAAAAAGATAAATTAGTGTTGGGCTATTAAAATTATATTTCTTTGGTTCTAAAAAGATGTTTTTGCTTTTTTAAAATAAATGTTTATATAGAGCAAACTCTTCTATTGCAAGTATGTCTTGCTTTAAGATTGTCAGATAAAATGTAAAATACCACAGATAAATAAAAACTTCTCAAAGTTTTTGTGTGGTATTAGGGTGTTCGTTTTTTTAAATTTTATTTTGAAAAAAATGGAAAAGTTGTACCAAATAGTACAATGATCTCTTGTATTGTAGATTCGCCAGTTGTTAACGTTTTGCCACATTTTTGCTAATCTTTCTATTGATCCTTGTTATTACTATTACTGATATTACTATTATTGCTGAAGAATTAGAGAACAAGTTTTAAATTCATTTACCCTCAAATACTTTGGGATGTTTCTCCTAAGAACAAGGAAATTGTCTCACTTAACCAAAGAGTAATGTTCAAAATCAGGCAGTTTAACATTAATATGATACTGTTATCTAATATAGTCCACATTCAAATTCATCAGTTGTCCTGTGTAGCAGTGATGTCCTTTATAGCAGTTTGTTTTCTGATCCAGGATCCAATCCAGGATCACACACTCAGTTCCTCAGCTTCTTGTCTTTCAGCACATTGACATTTTTGAAGAGTATAGGTCAGTTGTTTTGTAGATTGTCCCTCGGTTTTTGGTTTGTCTGATTGTTTCCTCATGACTAGTTTCAGGTTATGCATTTTTGGCAGGAATAATACATAAGTGATGTTGTGTCCTCAGTGCATCACATCAGGAGGCACATGATGTCAGTTTATCCCATTATTGGTGATGTTAACTTTGATCACTTGGTGTCCGCCAGATTTCTCCACTGTGAAGGTACCTTTTTTCCCTTTGTAATTCATAAGTAATTTGTTCAGATATATTTTGAGACTGTATAAATATCCTGTTCCCCAAGAAACTTTCATGTGATGGTTCTAGCATCCATTGATGATTCTTGCATGAATCATTATTACTGTGGTGGTTACAAAATAGTTACTTTCTATTTCTACTATTCCTTCCATAATTTCTTTCTCTTACATGGGATTACATGAGCAGGTAGCTAGTATCTCATGAAGCAAGGTGATTGTGTTCTTCATGCAACTAACAGTTTCTTTAGTGCCTACCCTGCACAGCTTTCTAGGAAAATGCAGTGGGTATACAGAGATACGATATCCCTTGTTTGTACTGTGATGTGAGAGATGATGCAGACATTTAGATAATAGTGTAAGGCATTATATAATTAAGTGGCAAATGAATTGAATAGGCAATAAATGGCTTAGGAATTCCAATGAGGGAGAGATTATTCTGGGCCGTAAGGTTAAATGGGAAAGTATCAAATTGAACTGAGCCATGAGACATTTGGGATATAAAGGAACAATGTGGAACGCATTCCAAGATTGCAGATGTCATGTGATTATACAGAAATAAATTGGGTACACTTAGGTGGTAAATAGAGTTTGATTGGGGTATATAATAATTTATGGGGATTAGTGGATTCTAATATAAAGGTGGTTTGGGAACAGACTAGAGAAAAACTTGAATGCCAAGCCAAGGAATTTGGGCTTAATTAACAGTTTATTGGAGGTTTTTAAGTGGATGATAATGTGACAATATTTTAAGATTATGATAAAAATGATATAAATGTAGAATTGGGAGGATGTTTGCTAGGAGCTGGGGAGGACCTGGAAAAATTTGAATAAAGTGATAGGCTAGACATGAATGGACAGAGGAGATGACAGATACTATTTTAGATAATATTGGAGAATTTTACAATTGGAAGATATGTGAGGGAAATTGAGTGTGAGATCATCATAAAATGCTCACCTAGAAATATCTTGTGTATAGAGATACACAGGTTTAGGGCTTGAGCAGGAACTCAAACTGAAGATCTAGATTGGATGTTTGGTAGCATGTACACTGAGGAAAAAGTATTGGAGTTCAGAGAACAAAAATCCTAGAGCCAAAGGACGAATCTTCAAAAGCAAACTATGGTATGTAAGTGTGGGAAATGAAGAAGACTAATTTAAGAAACTTGGCATCAAAAGAAAGAAGAAATGCGAGTGCAAGAGTTTTGCTTAAAACTATTGAAGGAGAGATGATTGGACCAACTAAGTTCTTGGATATAGAGAGAGTATGGAATTGAGAACAGAGAAGTAAAGGTAGAATAAAGGCGTGCTCTCGTTTGCCAGAGGTTCTATAATGAATGATGGTAGTGGTCACAACTATTTTTTTCTTTTTTTTAAGATTTTATTTACTTATTTGACAGAGCATGCAAGCAGGGGGAGCAGCGGGGGAGAGGGAGAGAGAGAAGCAGGCTCTCCGAGGAGCAGGGAGCCCGATGCGGGACTCCATCCCAGGACCCTGGGCTCATGTCCTGAGCCGAAGGCAGTTGCTTAATCAACTGAGCCACCCCGGCGCCACCCACAACTATTATTTAGCATTTCTATGTGCTAGATTCGGTTCCAGTGCTTTTACCTGTGTTAGTGGTCACAACCTAATGAGCCAGATATGACTATTCTCTTTTACAAGTGGAGAAACCAAGGCACAGGGAATTAATGATTTGTTTAGATGCACATAGGTAGTAAGTGGCCTAACTGGAACAGTATTCGGGCAGTGTGGTTTCAGGCTGAGTCCTTGACTCCTCTGTAGATCTGCTCCTGAGGCATAAGGAATAGATCAAGATGCAGTAAACACGATGAAATTGAGGGTTCAGGAGAGACTTCGAGTAAATTGGCTCAGTGTTTCTAAAGCTGTAGTCCTTTAAATTCTAGTTCTTGGTTTATTTATAATTAAAATGAAGGAGCTAGCAGTAATATCTCCTGAGATTCTTTAGTTCTAAAACTATTACAGATCTAATAATTAAGCCATGCATCTTCTGAAAATGAGATGAAGAGACTTGGAGTAGCCCTTCTTGGGAATATACTAAGGAATTGGCAAGTGAGGATAAAGCTCAGTAGGAGTTGGCCTGAATGTGTGATTTGCCTTTTTTGTTTGTTTTTAGAAGCTTTGCTTTGCAGCTTGGGCACAGATGCAGAAAAAACATCTATAGTTATGTGCTGTGTTGAGAATTGGCTCATCCAAAAAGTGAGGAAAGGAGGGGACACCAGATTGGGAAGTCAGTGTTTAAGTGATTTTTGGACTCTGAAACATGGTTAGGTAGAAATTGAAGTCATGTGAACAATAATTCTGTGGTAACTATAAGAGCTTCAGCATATTTGTGAGTTGCTTAAAGTGGTCCCATATCTCAGGTTAACTGTTATTTCAAAATATAGGCAGTTCCCTATATATAATATGTTGCAGAGAACATGTATTCAAGTTAATTGGGTTAAAGAAATTATATACACTAAATTCTTTTTATTTCTGTTACATAGGCATTAGTCACTCATCACCGGCATCTGAAAATGTTCTTTAATTTTTTTTTTTCACAAATGCTCATTTGACCAGTTTAAACTAGTCAATTTCTGGCAAGGAAAAGTACAAATACCAGTATATCTAATGATTGATTTCCTTATTTCGGTTGAATTAAGTCTTTTAACCTCTGCTAGTATCTATGCTTTCATTTTTGTGTTTTCCATTTATCTTATTTCATTCTTACTCTTATGAAAACTTTTAATAACCATACAAATACAGTACTACTGTATGAAGGGGACACAGCCCAAAGAAATTTGTTAACTGATAGGCAGAGCCATTATACAGTAGCCTAAATGTGCTGTGATGTAGGAAGTCTGTTTTTTCTACCAAATGTGCAGAAGTGTAGTTTGCGTAATTACTGCCTGTTTGTACATTGCACTTTCTGACTAGAAGGTGAGAGAATGGTTCAGGTTCAGGGTTCTGTGGTATGAAAGTAACAAGTCTTCAGTCTCACAATGTATTCCTTTTTGTGGTTCTGAAAGCCTTACTGTGTGGTCTAATCATCAGGGGTTTTTTTTGTTGTTGTTCTTCACTCTGCTTTTAGAACTTTGATGAACTATGTAAGCAATAATACTTTTTTCAAAGCAAGTTATTTTCTACTGAAGTGAACATTTTAGTGCTGTGGTATATAGGCAGCCAGGACCTGTTTTTTCACGTTGAAGGATTCAAATGAAATACAATTTTTATGCAGAGTCGGTTGCTAGTACCCTGGTTGCGAGATGAGAATAGTAAACATCTGAGCAAGATCTTTGGTAAAGCAGAGTGGCACAAACTATCAGGGCGGATGAATGGTGGAACTTCTCTGAGATGAAGGTAGCTGATTGCTGGCTTTAGAAATGAGTTCACAAAATTGAAGCAGGTTTAAAAAAGCTAAATGCTTTTCTCTTAACTTGGTAGTATATTCTTCCTACCTCTAGAAGAATGTTCCCTTTAAGGAAACAGACCCAAAGGAATTCAGTGAATTTCTCTAGACCACAAAGCAAAACTTAGAGTGTGATATGGCCCTTGTGCCTCTCCATAAGAAAAAAAAATCTCATTTTGGTAAATATGAAAACATTTCAGAATTCACAGGGATT